GTAAGGGGGGGCTCTAAAGACTGAGGAAGAGCAGTGAGATCCTGAAAAGGAGGAAGGAGAAGCAATGTTCCAACATGGAGAATAAAAGGTTAAAGGCAGAGATGAAGCCAGAGGCTCTTCTGTCCGGCTGTAAGGCCCCCTGCTGGCCCTCTGCTGTAACTGCGCCGTCATCCACAGCCTGCATCTACAGGACGGACCTGCAGACCCTAAGCTGCAGACGCAGCAGTAGGCCGTTTGCTCCATAGTAAACTAATTCAGAAACAACCAGAGCAAAAAGACGCAGGAAACTCCCCAAACTCCAAAACATGTGACCCCGGAGGTCAGAGGTCGACTGGGAGGGGAAGTGAGACTTGGTGGCAAAGCCAAACCATCTGCTCTGCTAAGAGGATCTCCAACTTCTGTTTAGGAAGAAGGACGTTGCCATGGAGACCTTGTCTATAGAGGCAGCTGATAGAGGTCAGTGGGTTTATGGGTAAATACTGAGGGCCGCCCCTCCCCTATCAGAACGCTGCGTAACACTGACCGCTGTACGACGAAGCGCCATCAGTGGAGGTCAGCTCTCTACATCTGACCAATCAGATGGAGGCGTGACGGCGGGCTGAGATCCAACAGATATCAACACGGTGGATTTGTTTAGTTTTAAAAGTTTGTTCAAAAGGAAAAAAAAAGGAAATATAGTTCAAACCAATTTTCACATCCATGTTATTTCCATTTACTGATCTCCCCCCGAACTTTTAGCCCCGTTTTGGCGCGGGGGGGCGGAGCCTCAGGTGACGGGCTGTGGAATAATGACTGAACAACAAATAACCAGCTGTGGCATTCAGGGACCGTGGGAACTTTAATATGAATGATATCGGTTTTGAAAAATGACATCATCCACGGAGAGAAGCGGCCGGTTTGAATCCATGACGACATGTTAGAGGAGAAACTGTCATGGTGGCAGATCTGCAGCATCGTCTCCGAGTAAAAACTACAACCGCCATAAAAACTCAAATCATTTTAAGACTCAAAATAAACTAAGTTAAACTCAAATATCTATTTGGTTCATTAAGTTCCTTCTTCACAAACAGGTTCATGTTACTCAGAATCGGCTCGCCTCGGCGCTCCGGGCCCTCCGGGGCGCTCCCTCTGGGGCGCTCCCTCTGGGGCGCCCCCTCTGGGGCGCTCCCTCTGGGGCGCTCCCTCTGGGGCGCTCCCTCTGGGGCCCCTTGGCCCTCTGGGGCCCCATGGCCCTCTGGGGCCCCTTGGCCCTCTGGGGCCCCTTGGCCCTCTGGGGCGCTCTGCCTCCCAACATGCTTTTTTTAGTGTTAGTGGGACCCAGAGCCAGCAGGAGCAGAAAGAAGCAGAGGAGGATTTTAGGACATGGACTCGTTTTCAGCAGCTTGTACCTGTTGAGCGAAGAAACCAGACGTTGGATTGCTTTTCCATCGGAATCGACCACATCCTGCAGCAGACAGACGTCACAGCGCGACACGATCTGCTCGCACAAGGAAACAGCAACAAACATCGGTGAACAAAAACATTTGCTAACTTCTCATATTTTCCCTTTGATTTTGTTGGGATAAACTGGAGTCCCAAGATGGCGGAGGGCTCCAACTACAAGATTAACTGAATTAAATATTAGGAATTAATTAATAATTAATTTATTAATAATTTCTTTACATGAAACACATTAATAAAGAAAAAGATAAACAGGAAACACAAAGAGCTCCTAAAAGGCCGTCCAGCAATAGGTGTGTGTGTGCTCTCTGTTTCACCATCAGACCGAGGACCGTTTGACCAAAAGGGGACATTTAGCTTCTTTCATAGCAGTTAGCTTAAGGACTAACGGCTGGGTTAGGGTTAGTTAAGCTCTGGTAATGGTTAGTTAATAGTTACTGTTAGTAAAGCTCCGGTAATGGTTAGGGTAATAGTTGGGGCTATTTATGCTCTGGTAATGGTTAGTTAATAGTGAGGGTTAGTTAAGCACTGGTAATGGTTAGGTTAATAGTTACTGTTAGTTAAGCTCTGGTAATGGTTAGTTAATAGTTACTGTTAGTAAAGCTCCGGTAATGGTTAGGGTAATAGTTGGGGCTATTTATG